TTGGAGGTGCGCGGCGGGATGCGATAGACGTTAACATCAGGCTTCACGCAGAGGACGGACTCGTACTCCATCTCAGCCGCCGCCATCTCAGCCGCGAACCCCAACAACCCAGAGAGGAGCGCGGGGTCGGAGCCTAATAACCGAGGGCGCTTCCGACCGCCATCTTTGATGAGGGCAGATACCGCCTGGGGGCGCTGGGGCGGCCGGGCGGGAAGCAAGCCACGTTGAAGGCGTGGAGGAAGGCATCTTAGATCCTGGCAGCAAAGCAAGGGGGCGGGGGAGTAGCCATCTTGGAGTCGGCTCTGACACAGCAGCGAGAGCTGGCGCCATCTTGAACCCTGGCAGTTCCCCCACAGGGCCCGGTGCGGCCATGTTTGGTTTGGGCTGATGAAGGGCGCCATCTTGGACCCGGGTGCTGCTATGCCGGGAGCGGGCGGAGGAGGGCGGGCTAAGGCGCCCCTTGGGGAGGCCGGGTCCCCGCCTTGGGTGCCGGGGAGGCCCTGGCGTTGCCCGCCTCCCGAAATGTGGGGCTGGGTTTTGTGGCGCTACACAAATATCGGGGGGCGCTGGTGGATCCCTGCGTGCCCCCGGCCGTGGGCTGGGGCATTTCTCCCCTGCGTGTTTTTCTTTCCCGCAGCCTTGGGCCAAAGCTTGGGTTTTAAGTGGAACGGATTTTCCTGTGGCCTGCGGTGATGGGATCAGGAGGCCTTTGATGAAACAGCAACACCACTATCAGTTTTGCAGCTGAAGTGGTAAAAATGCCTGCTACATTCATTTCAGGAGTGTGGCTTCCCTGGAAAGTGGCCAAAATAAGTTTACAGGTACTAGTTTATTTATCAAATATAAAGACTAGTAGCATTTAAATTGCTATTTTTTTAATAGCGACTTCCCAGCAAGGACTGGCGTTGAAGTGTACTGCTATGTAGTAGCCTGTGACTGAGTCCTAAAAGTACTAAATGTTTTCCCTCAAAACAGGAAGAAAAGGTGTAAGAAAAGTTGTGAACAAAGTTACATATCCACAGAGCCAAGGGTAGGCATAGCATGAGCTAACTGTGCTAGGAAGTAACTTAAGCTACCCGTGGAAGTCTGAGTGAGCAGTTTATTGCTAAGGGTAAAGCAAAAAGCGAATGCAATAGCACTAAGTTTGAGGAATTATTTTTTTGTGGTATGGACTAGTGTTAGTTAATCCAGCGAGAGCTGAAATGGTATCTGGAAATTTGTTTCTCATTGTTTCCAGAGGTAAGTGGTGATAATGGTAACAAACCTCAACCATATCAGTGAAACAAACTTGTTCCTCTGTTGGGTCAAACGTCCAAATAGCCCAGCATTTTATCTCTGACAGTGCCTGGAGCAGAAAAACTTTGAAACAAAGAAAGTGGCTCTGTGCTGCTGATGCCATAGATCTGGTAAGTGAAGCTATTTTGAAGCCAAGGACAGGAATAGTCTTGGGTTATTAAGACTAACAAAGGAGGATAGTTGTAATTGAACTAGCATATCTAAGATGTAACTGGCCTAGTTTTTCCCAGAAAAGATGTTGACAGCTGTATGCATAAATATACACGAAAGACACATGACTGGTGTGAGCTAAGTATCTGAACAGATATGGAATGACACAAAGTGCAGCTTCCTTTTCTTCAGGGAGGCTTGCACTGCTTCTCTGCAGCTGGAGGGAGGGGCTGACAAGCTCTGCTTTTGTGGCAGATCTTGGTGCCCCAGGGAGCAGAGGCCCACACTCTCCTGTGTGAGTATCCTGCCAGATTGCATGCTGGAGCCGACAGAAGCCTGCTTGGAAAGAGAGATTTCAACACTTTCATGCAGCCTGCACCAGAACTAGTAGGAATACACGGCGCTGATACTTAATGCAGGTATGTGCCACAGTGTGAAAGGAGGCTCTGCCTCCCTGCTTGCAGTATGCCAGTGTTATATTGCTTGCCAAACTGCCAGAGTTAAGGCAAAGAGGTTAATCAGAGGCAAACCTTGGAGAAGAACAGAGCTGCTTAAAGAAAGCCTATAAAACAGTACAGAATTACACTTTCCTGATATACTAGCCTAGAAATCTGTAGTGTAAGGGCTTTGTGGGCCAGGGAGTTGGTGTGCATTTGTCAGCAGTGTTTTATAGACTTTTCCTTCTACATATTAATCTAATTGCTTTTCTAAAACTTATTTATACTTTTTGCTTGCTACCCATGTCATTCCTGGAGCCACAAATCTAATCGTGCAATATAGAAAAGTGCAATTTTTTGTTTTCAAACTTCTACCTGATCATTTCATTTGATACCTCCTAGTTCTTGTGCTGTAAGAATTCACGTGTCACCTTCTCTATGTGTCTCTCATACCACCACTTAGCTTCACCTTGGGAAAGAGACATCTTTCTCATGTATTTAGCTTGTCCACCAAAAGAGGCCATTCTGAGCCACAGCTGCTAGTCATCACTTGCTGTATCATTTCTGATTCTATAGTTGTTTTTAAGATCAAGGACCACCACAGTACTCAGTATTCAAGAAGCGACTGAATACTCCCTTTTGAATAGCATTGTGTGCTGACATGATTTTTCATGGAACCTCCTGCAGTGACTGCTAAGTTTTTTCTTTGAATGGTAATAACTTATCTAGAGTACATCACTCTGTATGTATAGTTATGATTGCTTTTCCAAATTCAATAATTCATAACTCACAACATTAAATTTTGCCTGCCTCTTTATTGTGCTGCCATTCAGTGTGCCACAATCCTCCTACAGTTCTTCTAGAAGGAGAGCATCTAAGCCGAGAGACTGGCAAAGGGCCAACTTTTCTAAGGCATGTGAGGAAAGATGCACAAGCAGCACCAGGACATCAGGAATATCTTTCCCATTCAATTCCATTGAGACTTAACCAGCCAGGAATGTAACATTCTTCTGTCTTTTTCAAACAGGTGTCTCTGGACAAAGAAAATACAAAGCACTGCCAATAATAGCTAATGTTTTTAATTTTTTTTAAAGGATTAAGAAGTGAGGTTGAAATGTTGAAGGAGAACATATTTAAAATCAGACTATGAAAGCAATAGAGGATCCATATTCTTCCCACACAGAAATTTTCAATGAATGAAAACCAAGGAATAGCAGAAATCTTGGATGGAAGGCCACAATGTTCAATCATACAAGGCATGTAAATAAAAAGGCCTGCACAAGTAGGGTGAAATGCACAGTTCACGCCAGTCCATAGGTAGCCTTATAATAATCCATGCAGAAGAATGATTTGGGCTTTTGCTTTGCTTATTTAAGAAAAAAAAAAAATAGGGCATTGTTCAAGAATGTGCTTAATGGATAGACCCAACATTTGGAATGCTCTTTCTCTGCACAGAAGGTACACGGGAAACCAGTCTCACAGAATGACTCATTAGGTAATTTAAAGGTTAATCCCAAGATGAGCATTTTTACAAAACAGTCCAAATACTATTTCAGATGCTGCTTCCCTCACTGAAAATGCCCTGTCAAACCATCTGACCCAAACACTCACCCAGCACAGAGAACCTGTTATTGTGAAGAGCTACTTTTTAATTATGTATGATCTATGTATGTACCACTTCTGCCAAGCTTTGTTCTCTGCTTGGTGCCCAAAGCTTATGCTTACCTGAGCTTACTCAGCAACATACAAAAATGCCTTGGAGTCATTCAGTGGATTTTCTAAAGAGGAGAGCCTGAAGAATACCGGTACAGGGCAACCCTGCAAATACTTGATGTCACTAGAGAGTCCCTATGAAACTAAGTGCACAGTTGTGATGATGAAAACAAGCACGTACCAAAGAATGGCCACCAGACCACTGCAGCATGCTTTGCAGAGAAACAGTTGTGCTAGTTATGGCTAAGCTTTATAGGGAGAGTTTTGGAAAGGTTGGGGGTTTTTTGGGGGTTTTAGGCCCATGGGTTTGCCATATACACAAGGAACATTCAGGGTTTATGAAAAATCATAGCTAGCTAGTCACTCCACCTGCAGAGGAATGAGTGGGAGATCTGAGAGGGGCTGAAAAGCTTTGTAGAGCTGCAGAAGAAGTAGTAGAAATATGAAATACAAGTGGAATTCTCAGTTCTTGGCAAGGTGTTTTGGAGACAACCTGCATACATTTACCAGAGGGAGGTTTTTGTAAACATACTGATTACATTTTTAGGTGTAACTATTTTGACAGATGCAGTTTTGTAACAACAAACCTGAAATGGCAATATAAATAGTAACTTGCATTAAGGTTTTAGCCAACTTGTTTTGGTGGCCAGTTGAGTCTATACATTAAGATAAACTTGAATTTGAACATCCTCATACACAAGCTAATAGAGTATGGGCTAGGTAAGTGGACTTGGATAGGTGGATTGAATAGTGGCTGAACTTCTGGGCTCAGAGGGTGGTGATCAGAAGAACTAAGTCCAGCTGGAGCCCAGTCACTAGTGGTGTCCGGCTGCAGTTGACGTTGGTTCCAATACTGTTTAACTCTTCATTAATGACCTGGATGATGAAGTAACGTGCACCCTCAACAAGTTTGCAGGTGATACAAAACTGGTAGGAGGGGATGATGCACCAGCTGTCTGTGCTACCATTCAGAGGAACATGGACATGCTGGACAATTTGGCAGAGGAACCTCATGAAGGTCAGCAAGAAGTGCAAAGTCCTGCACCTGGGGAGGAAGAACCCCATGCACTAACGCATGCTGGGGGCTGACCACCGGGAAAGGAGCTTTGCAGAGAATCATGATGTTGTGGTCTTGGTGGACAAAAAGCCAAACATAAGCCAGCAATGTGCCGTCACAGCAAAGAATGCCAATAGCTGTGAAGGCTAGATTAGGAGGAGTGTTGCCAGCAGGCCAAGGGAGGTGATCTTTCCCCTCTACTCAGCACTGGTGAGACTACATTTAGAGTGCTCGGTCTAATTCTGGGCTCCTCAGTACTAGAGAGACATGGACATAGTGGAGTGAAACTTGTGGAGAGCTGCTCAGGTAATTAAGACTGTGGTACCCCTGTCATGCAGGGTAGGCTGAGAGAGGTGGGACTGCTCAGCCTGGAGAAGAGAAGGCTTGGGGGGAGGTCTTTCTTACCATCTGTCTGATGGGAGTGTTTAATGGCATTGGAACCAGACTCTTCTCGGCGGTGCCTGGTGACAGGACAAGTGGAGATGGGCACACACTGAAACACAGGAAGTTCCATCTGAACACAATAAAACAGTTTTTTACCGTGAGGGTGGTTGAACACTGGAACAGGTTGTCTGGAGAGTTAGTGGAGTCTCCTGTGGAGATACTCAAACCTGACTGGGGACAGTCCTGGGCAGTCTTATCTAGCTAACCTTGCTTTGAGCAGTGGGGTTGGGCTAGACAGTCTCCAGCCAGTCTTCCAACTTCAACTATTCAGTGATTCTGTGAATTAGAGTCTTTCTGAGCTAACTCAGTCTGTTTATCGTGAGGGGAATGGAGACATCCAGAAGAGAAGAAAAGAATGCAGTGTGGTGCTTTGGGATTACCATCAGCGCTGCAAATCAAAGGTCTGGTCTGATCTAAGTAAGCATTTTATGGAAGTAACAAAATGTCTTTTTTCCTCTTTGCACCATCTCCTTTGAGTGTCTACATCATTAGGCCCTTTATGCTGAGGTGCAAAACACTTCATTAGTCAAACTGCTTAAAAGGTTCATTGATCTGGAAGCCTATACAGAGAGGTGCAACATCATCTCATCACTGCCCAGGGTGAGCTGGCTGGACTAAAGATAAAGTGCTTGCTGTGTCAGGGCTGGCTGCAGGGGAGAGGTTTTAACCGGGAGGATCAGGGCTGGCCAGCTGGTAGAGAAGGACCTTCTTGCAAAGGAAAGTTTGACTAGAGCAAGCAAGTCATATGGTGGTGAAAAGGCTGCACGTCCCTTGGCCAACAGGAGCCAATAGGAGTACCCTCACATGAACACCTTCTGCCTGGGTCTGAGGAGTCCCCCAGGAAAGATGGCAGCTGAGAGTAAGATGCAGCTAGAGGAATTTTCCTGGCAGGCTGCTGAGAGCCCGTCCATCTTTGGGGGTACAGCCCAGCCCTGGCCTGCCTTCCTGTTTCTTTGTGGTTTCATGGGGTTTGTGTTGGAGGCAGCATTTGTGTGTTTCAGAGAGACATGCTCAGGGGCAGAACTCCACTCCATCCTGGTTCATTTTCCAGACCAAACACAAAATACTGAGGCTGATTCTTGTATGTCTGGGCTTTGTAATTTCTGCTGGCAGTCTTGATTTCCCAGATTGGGAGGGGTGAGCAGAAACCCTATTGTTGCACATTTGAAATGCCTTGCCCTAGATGTATTTTCTTTTTATAGTCTTGCCACATTTTGTGCTATCAGCATTTCAGTTCACCACTTCTAACATTTCATCAGTCAAGTTCCTTAAAAAAAAAAACCCAAAACCAACAAAAAGCACAAGAAGACTTTAACTACCCTGAAAGGTCAACAAATAGATTGACATGACCAATTTTGGTTTGCTGAGTACAATGTTCTGTATTTGGTGAACTAAGCTGTCTCAAGCTGGGACAGAAGCTGATTTGGATTGATAAGAATCCCAGAAATGGGATTTAGCTAAGTGAGTGTGCTGATCTGATAAAACATGGAAGTGGCTGCAAGACAACAGATCAGACACCTGATGGTGGCAAGTCAGGGTTTGGAATTATGAATTAAATTATGCAAAGGTCAACATTATGCCAACAGGCAAGATGTCTGATTCAGTTGTCTTCTGGAAACTACAGTATGTCTGTGCCTGTGATTCCCTTGCTTTCCATTATTCTTTGACTCAGGGCGCTATTTTATTTTTATGGTATGGAGACTGCTTCTTTTGGTTTGTTTGACTGTTTGTTTACTTTATCATCTCTAGAACTTCAAATATGTGTCCTTCTAAGCCTTTCTGTCAGGGTGAAAGAACATTCTTAGCACACACATGCACATACAGGAAAAAAGCAGTTTCTAAAACATCACGTGAGTTTCTTTTTTCAGTCACTCAAGAGAGAGGACTGATGGTACTTGCTCCCTGAGACACCAAAATATCTGCTTCATTCAGGTAGGTATAATAAGCTGCAGAATTCTGCTTTCCTCTTCAACTTGCAATTTCTTATTCTTCACTCCTGAAAACCTCTCTCTCCCCTCCAGTTCCCCCTTCCATCTTCATAACTACATAACAGCCCTTTTAGCATTCTTGAAAACATAGTGTGGGCAGTATCTTCTGATTGATTCATCCCTCAGTTTGCTTTGGAGTGGGATTTGCATTACTATCTTTACAGCATTCCTTGACTCCCTGTCCTCTTCATACTATCTTCTGTAGCTATACAGGGAGACAGCAAGATTCAGCTCTTGCAGCGCTGTTCTCCAGTTGCCCCTGTAAAAGTCACTTCTGCATAGACCAGCAAGACCACAAGAAATGGAACAAACTTGGTTTAAGTCCGCAGCTACCTTCCAGCGACTCCTTTCATAGCTTTCCTTGCAGATCACCCTCACCTAAAAGCTGCTTAGCAATTGTCACCAGAGTGTGGTGGATTGCAATGTTTATTACAACTGTTTATCTCAGTTTCTCTGGGGTGAAGTGGTTCTAACATGCTCCACATTTAGATTATATGTTAGGCAAGAAAGAGATTGATGATTTGGAGTATTTTTTTTAATAATATTGATATTTAGTCCTGCGCACAACAGTCCCTGACTGGCATTTAAGTACTAGCATGATAGAGGCTAAAACAGAATCAGTCTGGGTTGGCTTATTCATGTCTCCTCAGTTGCTTCTGGAGGCTGTATTCAGCTCTCACCTATTCAGTTTCCTGCATTCCTTCATTGATTCGGCAAGGGTTTAGTTAACAGGGATTTTATAAACAAGTCTATTAATGCCTAAAGGATGAAGATGAGGCTCCTTTTCTCAGTTCTGTCTTGACTTTGCTAGATTTCCTTTCCTTTCTAAATTTACTAATATCTAAGTCCAAGAATAACTGAGCAATTAAAGTTTTTTCACTACTATTCTCATAGTTTTAAAAGGTCACTTAAGTATTCTGTGGGTCAGCTTCGTTGTCTTGCGATACAACACCTTTTCTTACATCTAAAATGGCTCAAGAACATTACTGCTATTACTCTGTATTTTAATTTTTCTTTCTGCAACTAAATCTCTCTCTGTTCTTCTTAAAGCAGTGATTCCTTGCCTTTCTCCTCATCAAGACTAGCTTTCTAAGGAACCAGCAGAGAGCTCAGAGCAAAAGCAGGGAGAAGGAAGTGCTCACTGAGACTTCCCTAAAAGTATCCCTTAGCGAACAGGAACTGCTGTCCTGTCTGTTCTATTTATAATGTCCAGAGAGTGGAACAGGGTTATGTCATTAAGACGGGCATTGCTTTCTCAACCTAAGCATATTTCACTGGTTATGCCAGAAGAAATCACTCGGTTTAAAAGGAAAAGGAAGTAAAATGCTGACTTAGTCTTTCTGAAGAAGCGTACAGAAAGCTGGAAGTCGATCAGGAACTACACCTGGTGATACTGTGGGCATGTGAATAGAGAGCTCCACTTCAGAGTGGAGACTAAAAAAATCCAGACTGAAATCAAAGGGGATGATGGATAGAACTTAAGTTTATACAGCCCCCCTGTTTGAACAGTGGGGCTCATGTACCTTAGCCACCTTCAGAGTGATGAAGGTGTGCAATGGTCAGATTAGTAATTTAGCACAAATTTAGCACAAATTTGTATAGCTTGATGCCTCTGTACTCCAACAGCTGTGTACCTCTGTCACCTGACTCAGGTGCTGCAGTACAGATAAAGAGAAGAATTTGGGAAGGAGGGTGTGAATTGCCTACTGATTTGCTTTCTGTTTTATAGCTACAGAATGCCTGGACTCCTGGGTAATAGCAGTTCACATGAAGAGGCTGCTGTCTATTATGCATCAGAATCCATTGTCTCCATTGCTATTTTCATCATCATTTTCATCATAGGTATCCCAGGCAATGGATTGGTGATCTGGGTAGCTGGCCTGAAAATGAAAAGGTCTGTGAACATTGTCTGGTTCCTAAACCTTGCTGTGGCTGACTTCTTGTGCTGCTTGTCCTTGCCATTTTCCATTGTTCACCTGGCCCTCAATGAACACTGGCTGTATGGTTGGTTCCTCTGCAAAGTCATTCCCTCAGTCATAATCTTCACCATGTTTGCTAGTGTCTTCCTACTCATGGCCATCAGCATTGACCGGTGCCTCCTTGTGATGAAACCTGTCTGGTGTCAAAATCGTCGAACAGTGAAATTGGTATCACTAATATGCAGTGGCATTTGGATCCTGGCCTTTGTTTTCTCTTGTCCTGTCTTTTACTACCGTGACACTAGTGCTCATGATGGCAAAATAGAGTGTGGGTACAATTTTGGAGATGATGAAATGTCAGATTACGATTCTGTAAATGAGTTATTGGAAAAATACTTACCTTTAGACTACAATGGTAATTACTCATGGGAAAATTTCTATGAAACTGATGATTCTGGATCCCTTGCCTGGATGACAATAAACATCACTAGGGCTGTCTTTGGCTTCATACTCCCCTTTGGCATAATGGCAGTTTGCTACAGCCTTATTGCTTTCAGAATGCGTGCAAATCAATTTCACAAGCCACGCAACAGGACGCTGCGAACAATCGTGCTCGTGGTAGCTGCATTCTTCATCTGCTGGACTCCATACCACGTAGTTGGAATTCTGTGGCTTGTCCCTTCTCTTGGAACAGGACTGAGGAAGTCATTGATCCTCTGGGATCACCTCACTACAGCACTTGCATATGCCAACAGCTGCATCAACCCCCCACTCTACGTTTTTGTGGGACGGGACTTCAGGGCAAAGGCACGGCAATCAGTGCAAGGAATCTTGGAAGGTGCCTTTACTGAGGAAGCAACACGTTCGATCCCTTACTCCCTTGACAGAAGCAAGACTTCGACAGAGAAGGACGGTAGCAGCACAGTGTAATGCAGGACTTCTGATCACCACTGTAGGAGCAAGCTATGGCCCCGCACATCAATCACTCGCCACTTAACAGCTTTTTTTTTGCTCCAACACATTTGATTAATCTGCAGATCCACACACCGTGCACCAAGATGATTTGAATCAGACAGCTAAACCCCCTTTATATCCTGCCCTAGAGAGATGGGAAGTACCAAGAGTAATAATCTGAGGGAAAACTCTGGTGAAGCAGGAGACACCGAGTACTTTAACCTTTAAAGAAAAAAGCAGGCTTGCAGAATGATTTGTGGTGGGATCATGTAGTCTAACCTCTGAATTGCTAGATGAGAGTGTAAATAGAGTTATCTGCATATGTCTGTGTTCTACATCTCCTGTCTCTGATAAACAGACGATGAAACGAACTTTGATGTGTCTCCTTGGAATCTGTCATCCCACCTTTCCTCTGACTACACTTAGGGTCTGAGGGTTTTTTTTCCCCCTGAAGATTTCCCTAGAGGGTAGTGCTACGTTTTCTTACAGCAGCACATTAGAAGAGCATTCGCCCCAGTCAGCTGCACTGAACTGACTCTCATGCCCTGGCAGATGCTCAAGGTATTTCTTTGTCCCAGCAAATACAGTAGTAACTGGTTTAACGCACATGCCCTAGCTATGTTTGCTAGCATGCACTCACTCACTGTCTCCCCAACACTCCCTCCACCACCAGAGTCCCAGATCTTCCTTTCAGAAAGTAGTCCAAGATTATCCAAATCCACCTCCTACATTTTAAGACAGCACACGAGCAGAATTTGAGCAACTGCAGTCATTGATGAACCACATTAGGTGGCTGCTGGACTATCAGTCATTTGGTAAAACCTTGCACTTGAGAAGTGGTAACCTCCAGTCTGACCCTGAGAAGGTGGGGGGGAACAAGCCTGTTGCAGAGCACAGTCACGTCCTGCTCCTGACAAGAGAGATGTGCTTCTCAACGCTGTCTGGTGGAAGAAGATAAAAATTTCACCCAGTCAGGCTGTTTGGGGGTGCTTCCCAAGCTTGAAAGTTCACTACTCCTGAAAAGCCAATGTTCACTAGGTACTCCAAAGGGTGCAATTTAAAATCTGCTTTTTGCATTAGTCCTTCCTTAAAGGACTAAGATTAATGAAGGGCATGGCAGCCAGCCACCAGGCATCAGTATGGTTTTCACTTCCCCTTTCTGGCACTTTCAACTCTTTCTCCTGAGATCCTGAAAACTCTCAGTTGTAAAGTACGTGTAGGTGTGGGCTGTTAATTTAGTGATGTCCAGACCCAAATTCTGTTTCTAAGGTAAGTAGGTGGGAACCGAGGCCACCCGACGGGCACCGCTGAGAAAAAAATGCAATACTGGCACCAAAAGAGTTAAACCATAAACATTCACTTTTTCTTTTTATTAAGAAAGCATGCACAAAAATAAACTCGTGAGACCACGCCCCTCTCTCCCTGACCACTGACACCAGGCGCAGGGGCCACATCACACTGGAGGGGCCTGCAAGAACCCCTCTCCGGGACAGGCTGGCACCCCTTCCCTCCCTCCCCTCCCCTGCCC